TTGTTGTTGTATAGTTTGATGATATTCTCATTTACAGTATGGACCCTCAAGAGCATATAATACACCTTAAAGAAGTCTTTCTTGTCTTAAGAAGAGAAAAATTGTATGCTAACCTTGAGAAATGCTATTTTGGTGTGGAAAGTGTTGTTTTTCTTGGTTTTATAGTAAGTTCTAAAGGCATTGAAGTGGACGAGACCAAGATACAAGCAATTCGAGATTGGCCAACACCAAAAACAGCAACTGAAGTCCGTAGTTTCCATGGCCTTGCCAGTTTCTACTGAAGATTTGTTAAGGACTTTAGTTCAATTACAGCCCCGTTGAATGAACTTGTAAAAAAGGATGTTAAATTTGAATCGGGTCCTAAACAAGAACAAGCCTTTCAAAGTCTTAAGGAAAAATTGTGTTCTGCTCAGGTACTTGCATTACCTAACTTTGATAAAACTTTTGAAATTGAGTGTGATGCATCTGGGATAGGTATTGGAGCCGTTCTTATGCAAGAAGGGCATCCTATTGCCTACTTTAGTGAGAAATTAAGTGGTCCTACACTTAATTACTCTACTTATGACAAGGAGTTATATGCACTTGTAAGAACTCTTGAAACTTGGGAGCATTATCTGTGATTTAAAGAGTTTGTTATACACTCCGACCATGAGGCACTCAAACACCTTAGGGGGCAAGGTAAGTTAAACAAGCGACATGCAAAATGGCTTGAGCTTATTGAAGCATTCCCCTATGTTATCAAATATCAGAAAGGTAAGGAAAATCAAGTGGCCGATGCTCTATCTCGAAGGTATGTTTTACTTTCATCATTACAAGCCAAATTACTTGGTTTTGAATTCCTCAAAGGATGTATAGTAATGATGTTGATTTTGCAGAAAAATACACAGAATGCTCTACAACTCCAATTGGCAAATACTATCTACTTGATGGATATTTGTTCAAAGAAAACAGATTGTGTGTGCCAAATTGTTCTTTAAGGGAAATGTTCATTAAGGAAGCACATAGTGGTGGATTAATGGGTCACTTTAGTGTGACTAAAACTTATGTAATCCTAAATGAACACTTCTTTTGGCCCAAGCTGAGAAGGGATGTGGAAATGTTTGTTAGCAAATGTGTTACTTGCAAACAAGCTAAATCACGATCTCTGCCACAAGGGTTATACACACCATTACCTGTTCCAAAGGAACCATGGACTGATTTATCTATGGATTTTATAGTAGGGTTACCTAGAAGCAGAAGGGGCCATGACTCAATCTATGTTGTTGTTGATCGATTTAGTAAAATGGCTCATTTTATTGGTTGTCACAAAACTAACGATGCCTCTCATATTGCAGATTTATTCTTCAAGGAGGTAGTGCGTTTACATGGGATTCCACGTACCATCATATCTGATCGCGATTCCAAGTTTCTAAGCCATTTTTGGCGAATACTTTGGGGAAAGCTTGGTACAAAACTTCTGTACTCTACTGCTTGTCATCCACAAACAGATGGCCAAACCGAAGTTGTGAATAGAACTCTAACACAACTTCTAAGGGTAGTCATTAAAAAGAACCTCAAGTCATGGGAAGAAAGCTTACCATATGTGGAGTTTTCTTATAACCGAGCTATACATTCCACTACAAACATGTCACCATTTGAGGTTGCTTATGGTTTTAATCCATTAACTCCCTTAGATTTGATTCCCTTACATGTGAATGATAGGGAATGTATTGATGCTGCTAAGAGAGCTCAAGAGATTCGTGACTTTCATTCCAAGGTTCGAGCTCAAATTGAAAAGAAAAATGATCAATACGCTCAAAAGGCCAACAAAGGACGCAAGGCTACAATTTTTAAACCTGGAGATTGGGTTTGGATACACTACAACAAAAATAGGTTTCCAAACCAGCACAAGTCCAAGTTGATGCCTCGAGGAGATGGACCTTTCCAAGTGCTTGAAAGAATCAATGACAATGCATACAAATTAGATCTTCGAGGTGAGCATAATGTTTCTTCTACCTTCAATGTTGCTGATTTATCTCCATTTGAATTTTCAGATTCGAGGACGAATCTTTTTCAAGAGGGGGAGGATGATGAGACCCAAAGACAACAAGCAAATGATCCCATCAAAGTCTCTAGTGGCCCGACAACAAGATCCAAGTCAAAAAAGATTCAAGAGGCTTTTAACACTTTTGCGCAAACAAATTGGAGTACAACAGCTATTTATGAAGAAGGAGATCAATCTGGAGAAACAAATCTATTTCAATTGCCTTCACATCAAGACTTTCGAAGAGAGCTGCTAGCTTAAGGAGTATGCTTCACCTACTAGCTTGATGAATCACCTACTTGCTTAGTGATTCACCTACTTGTTTGTGCAACTTCTTCACTACCTAGCTGCTCACTTACCTCCTTGCTTGTCATCAACCAAGTAGCTCAAGCAAGCACCTCAAGCAACTAGCTTACTCAAGGAGACAAAGCATTAAATGCTTATGACAAACCCATGTGAAAGATAGCAAGTTGTGGAAGAAATTTCAGCCTACTACAAATCTGATTTCATACGTAAAAAGGGGGGGAGGGGAGGTTTATTTTGCAACTTGTTATTTTTAACTATTTACTTCATAGTTAAGGGATGAAACCTAGAATATTTTATACATTTAAATCCCTGACTTTTCCCTATAAAAACCCCATCACCATTGGGTTCAAATCAGCTTGTAATATTTGGAATGAAATGAGAATTTCTCTCTACTTTTTTTTTTGCATGAGAATTGCATTGAGTGTTTAGGTTGTTTGTCAGAAGCATTCAATCTAAGTAAGCTAGTGAGAAGCTAGTTTACAAGCCGAGAAGGCATATCCCACCATATTGTTCTTTATATTCATACATATACCCAAAAAATCTCAAAAAGAATAGAACTACTACTTATATTACATTGTTAAGTTTATTCTTATTTCTTATCTCAAATGCTAGATTCCTAAGTCTAGTTCTTAGCCTTGTTTAATCATCCAATGGTTGAGAAGATCATTGGAAGTTTGGCGAGGCAATTGTAGAGTTCGGGATCTCAAAATCCAAGAGTCTACAAGGTAAGATCCTTTATAGGACACGAAAGGTTCTGGAGTGATTCCTTGGGTGTGCACCTGTTGTGAGAAGCAACCCGTGTACGCGTCAAATACCAAGGGGTCAGTGCATATAGCTCTAACATGACACCGCGGTGCTTATACCCTGACCCAAGCCTTTAGCCAGCAAGTCTAAGGGTGGTCCGTGCCTTTAGCACAATAACCGAGCACTCGTTGTGCTTTCCGCCAATAATTCATCTCCACCAGTCACATCGATCATTACGCAATGACCATGATACCTATCATCATTCAATCAATCAACACATAATCAATCAATAACAATCAAGACCTAATAACAACGATACGTACTACACATAAATTCCTAGAATAGCATCTGAAACATCAAACGAGACTCATACACGATAAACGGGGTACAACGGGAAATTCGGAAAAATACCCCGCCACACCACGCCATTCCAACGGGTGGGCGGTGGGTGGTGGACCACCCGCCGGCGGCGCCACTGTTCCAGCGGGTGCCCAGCTGGAACTTCTCTCAAACTTTAACTTCTAACTTTTTCTTTCAAATTCAACTTTCGAAGTCTCAACTTCGAGCTTTCTTACTTTTAACTTCTCTACTTTACTATCGAAAGATAAGCAAGCAGTACTTTAAACACATTCATAAAGCACATAAATAGTTAAACAAGCGTAAGGAAACTCACAACCTCACCACGTTCCTAACTGATACTTAGAGTTCTTCTTGACTATGATTCTCATACTTAGTCATTGAACTTAGAGTCTTTCTCATCTCAGATCTCAGAACATAGAGTTTGTGAGCGGCGATACTGTTCCAGCGGGTGCCAAGTAGGCAGTCGCCTGTGCGCCGGCTGCCCGCTAGAACTGGGCTGCGTGGGCAGCGGGTAGGTGGTAGGGATTCGTCCCCGCACCTACCCCCCACTGGTACTAAGGTAGAAATCTGTCTTGGGGTTCGTTCGTGGAACTCAAAACCTCGTCCAAACACATTCCAACACGTAACAACAACATCACGGATTCAATAAGCGAAGATTAAACCAAGAATCATTCCAATTACGTTCTAACACGATTCCAAAACATACCAAGACTCGACATCAATCACATAACGGTTCAGGAGCTTCCGGAACCTCAAGAATATCAAGAAATCTATATGCAAAGCCCTAAAGACAAGTCCTAAGCTAGACTCAACACCCGATCATGCATAAACCCACCCAATAATACCAAGAACATCACAACAATAGATTCGCGATATAAACCCTGGGGACAAGCTCTAGACATAATTAATATACAAGATTACGCATATAATCAATCATAACATCAAGATCACTAAGATTATCAAATAATCACAATATAAATCCCAGGCAAGGCTCTATCAAGACTCAATCACAGAATCACCCATACAATTATCAAAGGAGCCAATAAATAAGATATATCAAAGAAAATAGGTTTTGTAAGACATGAGTTGCCTCTTAGCCCTAATCAATATCCTTGGCTACTAAGGTTCTTCTCTAAGATCTTCCTCCAATTGATCTCCCTAGGTTTGGTAGTGGGGAATCCCTTTGCTAGGTTTCCTCTGGGGATGTCTCGCATGGTGGAATTAATTGTGGTAAGGTTTCTAAATGCTTTCTAATCCCCTATATGTAGATTCAGGTGTCCTAACTAGAATCTGAATAGTAAAGGCCCACTTTCCCTATTCCTAACAGAATTAAAGACTTGATTAAGGATAAGGGTCCACGATCCATTGTGGACCATACTAACTAGTTAATGGAAATTCTAGTCCAATTAAATCCTTTTTAATTATATGTTAACGGGATTAATTTCATGATTAGTCCAGATTCGGAGGCCGTAACACGGGGTGTTACACCTTCTAACTCTATGTTAATGAAATCTCCAGGAAAGATCACTCTCGATATTTCTACGGGCAAGTTTTCCATGATGTCCTCACAAATATTCATTCTCCCTGATGCTAAGCGGATACTCATCTTCTTCTTGCTAGTAGGCTTCCATCCCAACGCGTTTACCAAAGATGACACTATGAATGAGTTGGTAGCCCCGGAGTCGAACAACAGCACAACAGGTACGTTGTTCACACGAAACGTTCCGGTTACTAGCTCCAGTGGCACGGCTAGGTCCAATCAAGTGGTGAATAATCCCCCCTTGTGCTCTTTCTTCTTCTTCGATCGTCCCGTGAGACAGCTCGCTGCGCCAATTCTTGGTGATTTCCTTTTTCCGACCCGACCGGTTCTTCTTCTTCTTAACTCCCCCTCGAATTGACAAGCCTAGGGTGTACTTGTTTCTGGGAGGTAACTCATTCTCACTGAGCAGCCTCGGTGGCATTTCACCACCCTGTTCAATGCAAAGAAAAGTTAACTTAGTTAGAACTTCTATGAACTAACTGCTTCTGACTTCTCTATTCTTAAAGCAAGGCTTACAACAAGTAAAGCACAAACATACATAAGTATAAACTTGTATACTTCTTACTTTTAGCAACTTTCACAAAATATTTCTCTCAAACTTTAACTTCTAACTTTTTCTTTCAACTTCAACTTTCGAAGTCTCAACTTCTAGCTTTCTTAGCTTTTCACTTTCAACTTTAAACTCTTGGTTTTTCAATTTCAATTTCTCACTTTTAACTTCTCTACTTTACTATCGAAAGATAAGCAAGCAGTACTTTAAACACATTGATAAAGCACATAAACAGTTAAACAAGCGTAAGGAAACTCACAACCTCACCACATTCCTAACTGATACTTAGAGTTCTTCTTGACTATGATTCTCATACTTAGTCATTGAACTTAGAGTCTTTCTCATCTCAGATCTCAGAACATAGAGTTTTTTCCTTAACTTATCCTTCCTAGGATTTCACTTAGAGTTCTTTTCTTAACTTGTCATTCCTAGGACTTCAACTTAGAGTTTTTATACTCAATCTTAAAGCTCAAACTTCTTAAGTTCCCGCGGTTCATACCGCTCTTATACCAACTTGTAACACCCCACTTTTTCTTAAACCTTATTAACAATACATAACTTAGAAAGGGATACTAAACAAGCATAATAAACTTACTAATCCAACTTTAAGAGGTGTCACCGCCACAATCACCACACATGGTGATTACACAGACAAGGAAAAGATCTAAACAAAGTCAAGCTTAACTAACTTTAAAGAAACTAGGGGAATAAAACTCCGGTGTCCAACACCAACAAAACATCTGAATAGGTCCACAACCAAGTCTAAAAAACAAACATAACTGATAAGAGTTTAGACTACAACTAGCACTCTAAGATAAGCTAGTCTAACTCGATCACTCTCAAGAACTGGGCCCACCTGAAAGGAGTTAACAAACAAATAAGTAGGAAACAACCCGTTAGCACGAAGCTAAGTATAACGCCACTCAACCCTATAAAATACTACAGTATATACTTTTGGAAAATATTTGTTTCACATACTTAAATCACGTATTTCTCAATCACTTAAATAACATTTAACATGCTCGACATGATTTCTATATGCTTGCAACCTAATTATCAAATAGGCATACTTTCTCAATTATTTAGCTTATCAACGAATTCTTACTTGCACATACTTCTCTTATCATGGCGATATACACTAATCATACTCAAATTGATAGTTAAATAATATACTTATGCTTTAACAAGCAATCTCAAGCTAACATATATCTTCACAACAATCTCATATCATCATATATCTCAATTAGCAATCTCATGCTATCACATAACTCAATAAGCAATCTCATGCTATCATATACTCAATAAGCAATCTCATGCTATCATGTACTCAATAAGCAATCCCATTCTATCATAACACCCCCCCCCCCCCCCCCGATTTTACCAATGTTTTAAAAACATAAATTCAAAGATAAGCAACTAATCATGAAAACAATCATAAAGCGGAAGCTATTAAAAACCGGGAAGGCGTTATGCCACACCCATAAACCATGAGTGCACAGGCTAAATCTATCACAATCATTAAACATAACATAAGTCTAGGCACACAGGCCACTAGTCTAGGCACACAGGCCAACAAAAGCAACACATCTAACCACAGGAGCTACACTATCTAGATACCTCATCTAGCGCGCACTCCGGACTAAGCAGAACTTGTAAAACATGGGGATAACACTCGGTCATCGAATAATGCTGGTAACCCATCAATACGCGTTAAATAGCATAGTATAGATAGATATAATCAAAGCCATTTAGAACTGAGGAATACAATATATAGTCATTTCAAAGCCAAAAGAAGATCAACATCAAAAACTCATCACACTCCCAACAAAGATCGAGGATTATCAACCTCAACAAGACAACAAACCACAACAACAAGGTACAACATAACTCTAGATGCAACCTACCATTCACAAGGTAGAGTTCATCAACACATGCTCATAAGCAAGGGCATCACACAATCACATAATGGCAATTTCATGTTTCAAGTTCCAACCTTATGCCTGGTTCTAACCTTATGGCTACCCCCGACCTTATAACTAGTTCCAACCTGTACCTCCTAGTGCCACCCTGTACTTCTGAGTCCAACCTTATTCCGCCTGGAACCATCGTCCCCCACCAATCTTTACCACCAATCAGAACCGTATTACCATCGATCTCATAGTACACGAGGGTACTGTAAAGTCACAATATTACTACCGTTCTCGTGAGCAAAGCTCAATAATATTACCACCAATCTCAATCATAATCACACATAGTCATCATCATCATCAAGAAGATTGAGGCTCATCAATAGCCCAATCGAGTATCAACAAAGGGTACAATGACTTCTACAAGATCACATCATAGGAATCAATCAAGAGACTTCAATGAAGACATGAAGCAATACTCAACAACAAAGGACTACAATCCATCATCAAAATGATTAATAACACGAGTTGACAACCCCAACAAGAAGGAACAAACCACACATACTAGCATAACAACATCAAACTAGCATGCTCATCAAACGGATAAACCAAAAGGGTTCCAACGAACCTTCAACACTCATATTAGCCCAACAAATCACAAAGTTAGACCCTTAGCACGATTCAAGACACCAAATCCTAACATGGATTCCTAACACATCGTTCTGGACATACAAAACATCAAGAGGACTCACAAATAGCTCAATAATCTAACAACGGGAGGTCAAAACATCAATACCAAGAAGAAAGGAATCGCGGGGAACAAATCCCCGCATCAACCTCAATTTTTCCACGCGGGTGGGGCCACGGGTAGGCCCCCACCCGTGGGCCTGCCCGCGGGGTACATGCCTACATCAGCCTCGTTTCCCGTGGGTGGGGCGGCGAGTAGGCCTACCCGTGGCCCCACCCGCGGGGAAAAATTGAGGTTGATGCGGGGATTTGTTCCCCGTGATTCTTTTCATCTTGGTATTGATGTTTTGACCTCCTGTTGTTGGATTATTGAGCTATTTGTGAGTCTTCTTGATGTTTCGTATGTCTAGAACGATGTGTTAGGAATCCATGTTAGGATTTGGTGTCTTGAATCGTGTTAAGGGTCCAACTTTGTGATTCGTTGGGCTAATATGAGTCTTGAAGGTTCGTTGGAACCCTTTTGGTTTATCCTTTGATGAGCATGCTAGTATGATGTTGTTATGCTAGTATGTGTGGTTTGTTCCCTCTTGTTGGGGTTGTCAACTCGTGTTGTTAATCATTTTGATGATGGATTGTAGTTTTTTGTTGTTGAGTATTGCTTCATGTCTTCATTGAAGTCTCTTGATTGATTCCTATGATGTGATCTTGTACAAGTCGTTGTACCCTTTGTTGATACTCGATTGGGCTATTGATGAGCCTAAATCTTCTTGATGATGATGATGACCTTGTGTGATTATGATTGAGATTGTACTATAAGAAAAATCGCGATTCGTGACGGAAAAATTCCATCGCGAAAACGCGAAATTCCGTCATAAATCACGTTTTACGACTGAATTTTTCATTTTCGCGACGGAATCCATTCCGTAGTCTCAAGGCTTGTCGTATTTCATTTCATGACGAAAATAATCCGTCGCGAGTGATGGCGACGGAAAATGGTGACAGAATTGTTCGTCGTGAAGTAGGCGACGGAAGTCATTCCGTCGCGAGTCCGTTGTGATTTTAGCAACGGAAATGTTTCTTTCTGTCGTCATTGTGTGAAAAAATATTCCCTCACAAAACTCATATTCCATTGCATATTTTTGTCTTGAAATATAACGACATAAATAATTATTATCGTAAATCCGTCGCTAACATTTCCGTTGCAAATTTTTTATTCCGTCATAAAAAAACGACGTAACGAATTGTCGTCGCTACTCCATCGCAAACTTTTCCGTTGCAAATTTTGTCTTCCGTTGCACAAATTCGTCGTAAGAAAACGACGGAAAAAATTTCCGTAGTAATTCCATCGCTAAATATTTCGTCGCAAAATTTATTTTCCATCACAAAATTTCATCGTAAAATAATAGCGTAACTAATCACTGTCGTGATTCCGTCGTATTTTGGATGACAAAAATCTTTTCATTGCCATAATTACAATGAGTACTCAATCGCTAAAATTATATCTCATCGCAATTATGTTAAATTATTATTTTAATATTTTTGTAATTATTATTATTTTGTTAAAATTCTAATATTTGTATTTAAAATGTTAATGTTGGCAAACTAAAATACAATATAATTTGTTGTAGATGAAGTACCGGCTTTCTCACTCTCAAGAGCATTTAATCTTTGCTGCATAAGAACCATAGAAGCCTTTAAATTCTCAATCTCATCTAGGACCTTTGCAGAATTAGCATTCTCTTATGGCTACGAGGTTGATTCTATATTGTTTGATGTGTTAGCATTTATTGGACTACGAATGAATGTACCATATGAGCTAAGTCCATAAACTCTTCTTTTTTATCATGTCCGCCAACTGCATCATAGTACAATTGACTCTCATCTACTTCTTCTCCATTTTATGTTAATACCTCCCGTTGCAATGCAATTTGTTCATGCAAAAATTAAAAAAATTAGTACAATTTTTATAAAAATTCATATATATTCAATGAAAATCAAGATAAATAAACACACATGGATTTGTTTGTATTTTTCAACTATAAATGTTTGGTCATCATGTTTTTAGGTATGTGTATGCTTGAATAATTAAAAATATGATGGACGGCGACCAAATTGCTTTTCATAAAAATTAGTTAAAATAGAAACAAAATAAAATAAAAATCAAAACAAATAAGATTATAATGTATAATAAAAATATTTCAAACATCAACTCAATAAGTAGAATATAATATAATCACACCGTTTTTATCACAATAGTGTAAATAAAAATTTATACAAACATAAAACTACATAATTATTATTTTAAAATGAAACGAATTTAGAAAAAATATTCAACAGAGTTTCCTTTATAAATAGATCTATCTCCAATAACACAAAGATTAACTCAATAGACACAATAAAATTAAATCACAATGATTTTATCATAATAGTGTCCATACAAATTTCTACCACCACAATAGCACATAATTATTATATAAAGCAAGCAAAATTCTGATAAAAATCAACATAGTTTCGTGTATAAATAGAACTATCTCCCTGCTTAATATATAATATAAACATCTCAAACATCAACTCAATAGGTACACTAAAATAAAATCACAAGAAGTTCATCGTAATAAAATCAAGAGTGAATTCCATTTTTGGTCCTACTGCTAGGGGTCATTCCAATTTTAATCCACCACAATTATTTTTGCCACATTGCGTCCACTATTATTAAAAGTGTTCCAATTTTAGTCCACGAAAAATCTTAAAATGGACTAAAATTGAAACACTTTTAATAATAGTGGACGCAATGTGGCAAAAATAATTATGGTGGACTAAAATTGGAAAAACCCCTATAACAATAGGACCAAAAATTGAATTCACTCTAAAATCAATTAAAGTTTCTACCAACACAATAACACATAACTCAAACAATCCAAACATAATCACTTATAATTTAAACAATTCGAATGAACTTACAAGTTGAGTGGCAACTTTGGAATGAAGTGTTAGTTGACCCTGTGCTATGCGTAAATGGAGCAACTCCATCTAAAACACCGCCACATCTATTTCTCTTACCTAATTCCATCCATGAAATCTGGTTTACTACATGCAAACTCAATAAGTTTCTAATCTTTTTTTTTTTTTATAAAATCTGGATTATAATCACCACGTTGAGTTCACCTTTGATACATCCAACTTCTATCCATAATACTTATATGTAAAGACCTACACATATGCATTCATATATTTAACAATCATTAGTGTTTAAAAAAATATTACTATTATCATTCTTATTCCAATATTTGAATTGAATACCCCTCTAAGAATAGAGAAATAATATTATAATGCATTAATATTGTAAAAATATAAACTTTAGTTGCTCCTTGCTAGACTATTCGAATAATTTTGAATCCTTTAATCTTTTTGACAGGGGTGAGCATCGGTCGGTTTTCGTTTAACAATTGAAAAAATATTATCCTTCTCATAACTGACTAAAATAACCAAAGCCATTCGCATAATCAAAACAAAAACCAATGTTATCTTTTCTGCTATGTAGCAACTTTGTAGAACAAAAGGTTTATGGTGTCAAAATTTGTTTGTCATTACAAAAATTTTATACCTACAAGACTAGCTTGCACCCATACATGTCAAAATTCAACAATGAAACATTATTGAAAGAATTAAATTCAGAGATGTTTCCATGACACATGTACAATCTAAGGACCTTTCCCAGTTTGAAAGGTAACCAACCTACCATGTAATGAGAAAGAGCTTATTTGTAAGATTTTTTTTGTGAGTTTTTTTTGTTTACTTTCTCTATTTGATTGGTAAGTTTCTTTTATTTAATTTTTGGTTTATTATAATAGAGATTGAATAGATGTGATTGGTCGTGTTGTTAAGATATATTCTCAAAGTTTTAAAAAACTTTGATCATTAAGTTTGCACTTTGTTCATGCTCTGTTTGTTGCAAGAAACACTTTGGAGAACATTTGGTGGCTATTTTTGAAAAACAATTGTGGTTGTGAGCTTACTTAACACAATGTAGCTCACATAGGAACTGTGAGCTGAAAAATTGATTTTTTTTTTTGTTTCACATATGAATGCATAAACTTGTGTTGTATTTCTAATTTACTATAAAGTATGCCTTATAGTAAATTGTACCTAAGTATTTTTTTTATATTCTTTTTGTAGTATTTTGATTTTTTTGCAGGTATCGATCAATCTATGTCAGAGAATTTTCTGAACAATGAAAGAAGGTTGAAGTTTATCCATATCCTATAAAGAGAAGCAGACTGTCTAGAGTGAAGAGCACAAGATGTACCAAATAACCGTGAACTGTGAACTTTGTAGTTTAAGGTCATCTAGACTATTTAAGTCCTATTGAAATATTGAAAAGTGTTTAGTGTGTAGATTGTACCAGATTGGTGGATGTCCATACATAAAATCAAATGAAATTGAGTACATTGTGGTCTAAGTATGAATTTGACTTACATAGCATTTTGTGGTACTATGAAAGAAGGCTGAAGTTTATCCTTATCCTATAAAGAAAAGGAGATTGCCTAGAATGAAGACCACAAGATGTACCAAATAATCGTGAACTGCGAACTTTGTAGTTTAAGGATATCTAGACTATGTAAGTCCTATCGAAATGATTCCAAGTGTTTAGTGTGTAAATTGTACCAGATTGGAGGATCTCCATACTTCAAATCAAGATGGAATTGAGCACATTATGGTCTAAGTATGAATATGACTTACATAGCATTTTGTGGTACATAAACTTATTGATTGAGTAGTAACATTAGGACATTACTACTTAATACACACAGAAAACTACACACGAACTCTAAGCAATTCACTGATAATACTAGCAAAAAACAAAATGAATAACTTAGTCACAGAAAAAGTACACACTAACTCACATAATCAAACAGAAAAGTACACACTAACTCTTAATCTTTTTTCAATATTAGTAAAAGATATCTACAGTTTAGGATTTTACAGGGATGTTATTGCTAAATACATGCATATCATAAATAAAATAATGTACTTTTAGTATTCAAATAATATATTTTCAAAAAATGTACTTTATGTATATAAATAATGTACTTTTAATATATTAAAAATTTATCTTTTATTTATGATCCACACAACTATGTGAATCATGGTACATGTAATAATAATTTGTAATTCAGAGACTCATAAGCCTTCGAACACAATAGTATACTACCATAGAGATTACCCATTTCAGAAGCCAAAACCATTTAACTGAAACATTATAACCTATAAGGAAAACTAAAATGATAGCATGTAAAAAATAAATAAAGAGAGGCAGATCGGACAATTAAACCAACAAATTGAAATAATTTTGTAGCAAATATGGGTTTAAAACGGAGAATTTTGCCAATACGTATATATACAAAACAGTAGTGTTATATATATACATACATTGTACACAAACAACAAATAACAAATTAATAATAATACACACAAAAAATGTGGAAAGAGTCTAACCTCGGTCTTGATCGCCGTCTCGCCACAACCAGTTGCCGCCTCGTCGCAGCCCATCTCCGCCTCGCTACTGCACGTCCCAATCTCGAATTCGCAAAGTCGAGTCTGAAGCCGACGTGAGGAGAGTTAGAGATTTTTAGAAATATAGGAATTATAGATTTTTAGGAATTAGAGATTTTAGGAATTTAGTTATTAGACATTTTAGGAAATTAGTTATTTTAGAATTTTTTAGGTGTAAATTAAAATAAAATTTAGGATTTTAGTATATTAAAATAGGATTTAGATTTTAAAAATACTATTAATATATATATATATATATATATATATATATATATATATATATATATATATATATATATATATATATATATACTCAACATGAAATTTAAGACAGAAAGTTAAAATAGGTAAATGTTTAGTACAATTTTAAATATAAAATAAAAATAATTATTTTTGATATAATTAAAATGAGTATTTTAAACTTCTAGTAAAAGTAATCGTAAAGATTAATATTATTGTAGATAGTTATAATTGATAATATAAAATGATGTTCTAACATTTTTATATTAAAATAAATTAAATTTATTATGCCCCTTAGAAGTAGGTGTTTTTTATACAAAGTACAATTTTACTTTCTCATTAATTACCTAGAAACATGGTCGTTCCAATCAAAGTAGGGGTACAATGATAATTGTTTGATTTCATTAAATACAATCATCCAATATAGCATTTGTACATTTCTACAACAAAGATAATAATAACAAAGACAACAACATCAACAATAATAATAATAACAACAATGATAATAATAATAATAATAATAATAATAATAATAATAATAATAATAATAATAATAATAATAATAATAATAATAAATAATAATAATAATAATAACAATAATAACAACAACAACAACAACAACAACAAAAAATAAATTTGTGTGCATAAGGAGGAGGAAAAAGGATAATAATAATAATAATAATAATAATAATAATAATAATAATAATAATAATAATAATAATAATAATATATTTTTTGTACATTTTTACAACAACAACAACAACAACAACAACAATAATAATAATAATAATAATAATAATAATAATAATAATAATAATAAAATAATAATAATAATAGTATAATAATAATAATAATAAATAAATAAATATAATAATAATAATAATAATAATAATAATAATAATAATATATTTTTTGTACATTTTTACAACAACAACAACAACAACAACAATAATAATAATAATAATAATATTAATAATAATAAAATAATAATAATAATAGTATAATAATAATAATAATAAATAAATATAATAATAATAATAATAATAATAATAATAATAATAATAATAATAATAATAATAATAATAATAATAATAATATGGGGAAGGGAAATGGGGGGGTGGGGGGGGGGAAAGGGAAAATGCGTGGGGGAGGAGGTGGGGGGGGGGGGGGGAAGGGTGCATTCCCCAAGAGGCCACAAATTGTAGACTCGGTGTCAAAATGACCCTGCATGAAAAAAGTGATCCAAAGGAGGAAAAGCGTGTCGCAGAAGAGCGACTTTAGGTGATGTAACCATCTTTATGATTTTACAAAGTTAGTTTCTGCCAGACCATCTTTATTTTTAAAGCTAATACTAATCTAGTGTATTCCTATTTTTATGGTATATATATACAGTATATTATATTATTATGGTATATATACTGTCGAGCAATATAAAATTAATTCAACGACTCATGTTTAATTACAATTCATGTATATAGATTATCATAAAATAAAATGTAATGATTGTAAAGAAGAAAATCTAACGACTCATGTTTAATTGTAATTATACTATAAAGGGAAAATAGTACTTTTCCCCATGTGTTATATACTTATAGCACTTTTTCTCCATAAATTATTTAAGTAGCAACTTTTTCTCCTGATATATTAAACAGAAGATCAAGTTAAAAATAATAATAAATAAATAAATCAATCAATCAAATCTTGACAAGACAAAATTATTTTGATCATAATTATTTTAAAATATATTATTATGTAGGTGGATTATAATAAAAGAAACGTAAATAAATAAAATTTGGCAATCTAGTCAACAAAAACTTAAAGTTAATATGTTAAAAATGTTAATTGCTCTTCTTATTTGGAGTTCAATGGCTTATTTGCTCTTTATTTTCAGATTCAATGGCTTATTTGAGGATTACTTGAATTTGAGGGTTATTTGAGTTCGATGTTGTTTCCCAAATAGTCCAGTGATTTATTTGTACTTTATCCCTTTTTATTAATAAGTATATATAGATTATAACAAATTTAATTATTTAAATTCTTAATTAATCATTGCTAATCAATTTTATCAAACAATATTATTTAATTAATTCTAAATATGTACGTACAAACATGTATAATACCTATATTTTTTTCTTCTTTTTTTTTTCTTTGAAATTATAACAAATGGACTCAAGGAGACCATTTTTACACAAACGGTCTCCTTGAACATGGCTTTCCCTAGTTAGTACACAAAATCTATGCAGGCCTATATTGGTATCCACTATTGTTTCTGTGCCTAATCTGAGTTATGATTCCAAGGGAAAATGTGTGGGTGGAAGGGAAAGTGAAAATAAGCAAAATGGGATGGTGGATCAGTGGAAGGGAAATGGGATGAAATGGAAAAAATGTAAGGCTACGCACATAGGGTTCCATCCTTTGAGTCATTCTCAAATTACCATATGGGCCTAGAATTCGTGTTTATATATCTCAAAAGATATTTTGGGTGCCTAAAATAAATTTTACTTAAAATAATTAATTATTTTAGTGACCAAAAGAAAGAACTTCGTAAGTTTTGTCGTCAACCTCAAACGTCAAATTTATCTTTGTGTAAAAGATCTCAACATAATTAATTTCTATTGCCGATTTCATCGCCATCGCGTGACAGACATATAGGGCGTCGCATTTTCTGTCGCCAATGTGTCAACATATTGGCGACAAAGTTGATTCTATCGTCGCATTTCGTAACGAAAATGAACTTGACATAAAAAAATTAAATATTTTTGTGACCGAAAGAATGATCGTCATAAGTTCCGTCGGCAACTTCAAACATCAAATCTACCATTGCTCCAAACATCGCAAGAGAATT